TATCCCACGTCCAAATCGGAATACAATAACTAAAGTTATGGAATCCAGAAGTGCAGTTTTGGTCTTCCATTCAGGACCTCATGGGAAGTACGGAAAAAATTGACATGAAAATTGGTTGAAATTTTGACCATCTTTCAAACGAAAAATTGGAATACAGAAAGTAAGATAATTCAAGCACAAACTCATAGAGGTATCCCACGTCCAAATCGGAATACAATAACTAAAGTTATGGAATCCAGAAGTGCAGTTTTGGTCTCCCATTCGGGACCCCATGGGAAGTACGGAAAAATTTGACATGAAAATGGGTTGAAATTTTGACCATCTTTTAAACGAAAAATTGGAATACAGAAAGTAAGATAATTCGAGCACAAACTCATAGAGGTATCCCACGTCCAAATCGGAATACAATAACTAAAGTTATGGAATGTAGAAGTGCAGTTTTGGACTCCCATTCAGGACCTCATGGGAAGTACGGAAAAAATTGACATGAAAATGGGTTGAAATTTTGATTCTCAGTCCAATCTGGAAGTATGCGTTACAAGTCTACGGCATAGCGTCTAAGACGAATCTAAACAAAATACGAGTAGCGCAAAGCAAGATTATAAGATCGATGTGTAATGCCCCCTGGTACATGCGAACCAGAGATATTGAAAGAGATCTCAAAATCCCAAAGATAGGCGATGTTTGTCGTACGCATGCTGAAAACTACTTCAGACGCCTTGGCTCTCATCCTAACTCCCTGGCGAAGAGGTTAATTTGGAGACCAACAAGAAGAAGACTGAAAAGAAACCACCCACATGACCTTCCATTAAGATATATTTAACACCTAGTCTAACTAAATATCAAATGAAAAGAATTAATGTATAATCTTGTATACCAAAACTTTGTTATCCCCTATATTTACAACCTGCTCAAGCTGCCACATAGGTAGCAGTATACCTGTTAATCCTGAATAAATATACACTTTTACAAAAAAAAAAAAAAAAAAAAAAAAAAGAAGTGCGGTTTTTGGTTACCATTCTGGACCACATTAGAATTACGAAACAATTATACATTAAAATGGGTCAATATATTTACCCTCGCCTAGAAGAAAAATTTAAATATAGATTACTATAGAAATCCCAAAAAACTTATCTAAAATTTGTTAAAATTCTTAATGCTATCAGTAAAAGTGTAAATTAAATCCAACTCCTTTAAAAGAAGCCTGTCTCTTAGGATTGTTTATAGTTCTTACATCCTTCCTCTAACAGCTGGAAAAACCGCACTCGTTCCCTCAAGGGTCTTAGTGCGATTCTAAATCCCAACCTCAATGAAAATGGCGGAAAAGGAAAAGCGAACCTGTTGCTAGCTTCTCTAGAGGATCCACGCCGAAACCGCACGGTTTCATTCCCGCTGCTTTCCACTTTCCGCTTTTCAAGCATTGTTTGGCCGCTCCCCATCAAAAGGAAAACCCAGCGAATCCCCTTTCCCATTTCCGACTCGCATTTTTTCAGTTGGCTGATGTTTTCTTTTCATTGGCAATTGTTGAGCCGTGTAATAATTGCTACTCTGCTTACCTTCGAGGATGTATGAAAACTTATATGATAACTCGAACCTGCCCACAAAAGAACACATTTCCTAATTGAAATAAAATATTTACTTGTGAGAAATTAGAAACAAAAAGGTTTTTGTAGAGTGCACAAGATTAAATCTTGCCAAAACACCTTTTAAATCTATTCCTAGTGAGAAAAACAAAAATCCAGTGTTTCTGTAGGCTTTTCTTAAGGAACTTACAGCGGTGTATGAGTGCTTATTAGTTTGTCTCATTGGCAGGACATTTCAAGGTATATATTGGGGATAAAATTCCCTTCCTGGCGGACCTAGAACTCATGTCCTTGCCTGGGACGATTTTGTTGCCACACAAGCACTTTGATGTCAATGAACCTGGGGCTCCGGATTCTTCCTATGACAGCATCGCTGTTGTTTACAAAAGAAACCCGAAAACGCTCCTGCACGCGCTTCTCGTTTTCGAGGGCTCCGCTTTTTGGCGACACTAAATCTGAATTCAATATGTTGTCGGTATAACATATTTCATCTTTGGTCAGCCTCGTTTGCATAGTCGCTGTGTGTAAGTGTGGGCAAACAACGTGTTGTGCCAATATTGACTAGGCCCCCAGGCTCTTCTCTCTATATGTATACACATATTCACTGAGAAAAACAAAAAACAAAAATAAAATGCGGAAAGCACAAACAAATGGCCAAGTGAAAAAACGGCCAGATAAATTATTGAAATATTGCCTTTCGGTGGCATGTTTGTAAAGAAATTAAATTAGGGCGATTATATTACCAAGGCCATTTCTGGGGTTCTATGTTGTACCGGGGGGAGCTCTCACATTGGCCGGCATTGATTGGTAATGAGATCACAAAGTTGACTTTGATTGAATTGGGTTTGTCTTTGAGTTTTGTTTTCATAGCATGATTAAAGTGGATTTATAACTTACTCCTGTTTCAATTAGGTCGTGGCTTGCATGTTAAACCAAAGGGATATACGTACAATATAATTTAGTCTCCAACCTATCAGTGGTAGTTAATCAGTTTTTTATAGATGCTCAAAGCCCTTAATAAAATACCCTGAAAATGCTCGTTCAGGATCTACTACCCCCTTCTTTTGGCAAGTACATTAAAGCTAATAGTGGAAACCGCCTGAACAAGTCTTTCGGGAATTTCCTTTCTAAAGGCCCAAGTACCAACATCTAACTGTAAACACCCACAATTGCACTTTAAGCATTTAGTAAGGAGGCCGGCCAGACAAATCCCCAAAAACGAGGGCAAAACAAAGAAAAACTTTGGCTGTAAAGCATTTAAAAAATTAATTGTGACCTTTTCTTGCCGGGCACTGCGATGCCCGATAATCCTTTCACCGGGATTCATAAACAACCGGGGCAAGGAGTCATTAAAATCATGATTAGCAGGAGCCACAGGTGCCGTTAAGTGGAGCCCAAGTGGAATGAAAGCGGTGGGTGAGTCAGCGGGTCACAGGGAGCTCTGTTTGATTGCCGCTCGACTGGGTGCAAATTTAGTCGGCATTAAAAGTGGCCAACTGACCGACCGCAAAACCGAACAGAGGGATCTTAATGTTTTTCTTTCAATAATTCGCCCCAAAAAGGGCGAATTCCCCGAATTCCCCGAGTTCAATGAGGTGGGTGGCGGTGCAAGGTCGCAAGATGGTGGCCAGCGGCCAAAGGGTTTCGGCCATCCGATTCGGCCCTTCGACATTTGCCCTTGCCGGTGCTGTATTTTCCAGGGGCTTTCCTTCTTTTTTCTGGCGTGGCCTCTTTTTATTTTGTTTCCCAACCGCACTTTCTGCCTTTGTTTTGGGCTCAGGTCAAAACTCAAAAGGATTTCCATGTTTTTCGCCGTTTATTCGGATTTGCCTTACACGCCATGCCAATATGACGGTGGGTCTGCCCGCTGCTGATAAGCCCGCTTTTTTCCTTTGCACTTTGGTGCATCATCGACGGGAACCGATATTATGTCGGCCTAATATTGTGGAAAAGTACTACATTACAATTAACCCAGATATCATCTCAATTACTCGTTTAAAATATACATTTTAAGAAAACTAACCAATGATTCATTACATGATTATGGATCCGTAGAATAAAGATTCGACGAATGTTCCAATGAATCCCTATAACGTGTATATATTCTGTACAAATTGCAAGTACAATGAAAAGTTCAATTAACTTATTTCTTTATCTCTTTATTTGTGACTATTGAGCACTTCATAGATCAAATCTTAAGTACCAAATTGATATGTTTTTCGAAAGTTTTTCTCATGATCCCTTAATTAATTTACACATCAATGCGTGCAAAGTAAATTGGAAGTATCAATTAATTTATTGTCAGTGCAACAATTTTCCGATTTCCACGACCCCTGATTTTCACGTCTTAGCTGGCCAATCTCCCCGACTCAGCTGAGTGCATTAAATACCTATAATTATATTAGTTTTCAGACTCAAGTAATGGCCAATTGTAGTTGGCCTGGCCATTATGGACCAATGAATCGATGCCACCAGAAAGCGGAAACGGAGAAAATGAAAACCGTCCTAGGAAAATGTTGGGTCGAAACGAAAGAAGGTCTTGGCTGGCATCCTGTCATATGAAAAGCACTCTTTCGACAATAACCAGCACAACAAAGAAACTGACCATCAGCTACAAGAACGTTGGACACATCTACACAAGTTAACTTTTAGTTCTGGATAAATAAATGTTCTTTCTAAGCATTTAAATATTTTTTAAAATTTTCATTTTTGTTTTGTATATTTTTTTCTTATCTTCCTTTTTACAAAAGTTTTATATGCCTGAGGTCTAAGGTCATTGTCTATCGTCGAAACTAACTTAATTTTCCCCACTGTTATCAATTTTGTCGGCTGCGACTCAAACTTAAAGTAAAGTCGGGGCAAAGTGCAAGTTACTGCCTGACAAGTTTCCAACTGGAAGTGTGTTTTTCATATCAATTTTTGCTCTTCACTTTTTGTTTCCTCATTTTATTCAACTTTAAGCTGTTTGGCCAGCGCTGACTGCGAAAACTTTGCGCCGGATAAGATCCACAGAACTATGCGGGCCAAGAAGTCGGACAAAACGGTTTAAAAATTCAATATTTCAACTTTCGAGAGCGGGGAATCTCAAGAACATGGAGCAGGCAAAGTAAAGAATTTGAGGGGAGTTGAAATCAATTTGTGAGGGCTCTGGACAAAAGTCTTAGAAAACCCATTGGTTCAATATCTTTTATCACAATCTACAGCATTTATTCCCTGTGATTTGCAGGGCCGCTCCTTACAAATGGCCACAATATCGGGGCTACGAAAACATTTTCTTTGATTTCGGCGAGGAATTCAGTAGCTTGTTTATGCCTTGTTTAGGGCCAGCGATAAATATTTGCCATTGTTCGGCTGTCAGTTTGGGTTTCCCTTGCTCGTTTCGCAAAGAATAAAATAGGCCAAGAAAGCGATATTTACCTGATAAATTCCTGGCATTCGGAAATTTTTCTATTTATTTTAGCTTGCGCTTTAATGGTCACAGAGCACAGAAACAAAAATGTGTAAAAAACTGTATACATGAACTTTCGTATATTTTTTTAAGGTTTTTGTATTTGTTGAAAAGCCTCTCGCATTTGTTGTGTTATTTGGTGATTTTCAAAAACGTTTTTCGGTTAGCCGGGATTCAGTTTTCAGATGTGAGTGCTTGCCTCCAGTTTTCCTCTCAGGGCTGTGTGTTCGCCTTAAAAAACCCGCAACGACTGAATCAAAACAAACAAATTTCTTTAGTTTTATTCGAAAAAGTGGTAGCGGATATTTCGGCAGCGGCTTCCCGTTCGTCGGTGCTCGGAAAAGCCTCGGAAAAACATCAATGGAGTGTTCCCAGCTGTTGGATATCCGTTTTTTATCCGTCCGCCTTGAGTTTCCACGTTATCCGCGCGTCTGCGCTTTTCCCTTGCTCGGCACTTTTTTTGTTTACATTGCCCCTGCTTGACTCCGCTTGTTTGCCTCGCTTTCCCTGTTCACTGTTTCACTGTTTTCCCAGCCGCTATTGCCGCCCGGCATTGTTGCTTTCCCTAAGCGTTTTTTAATCTCTTAGCGCCGCGCTTTGTTTCTGAGTTTTCGAATCGAAGCACTGCTCTCAGCTGTTTGCCATCGACCAGAAGGTCTCAAGGTGTTTGACACTTGGCTCTGGGGCCCCAACCATCCCCATTTCCATCCCCATCCCCTCGAGAACCCGAGAACATCTAGCTTTAACCACACCTCGGCAGAACTTGTTCACACTTCCACATGTCCTGCAGACGAGCGGAAAATGGGAAAACCCCCCAGGCAAAAGGATTAACATTAGCTTGTCCGTTTGCTTGCTTTGTTTTTTAATGATACAATAGCTGTTTACAGCCAAATTTACTCGCTCGGTTTTATGACAATCTTTTTCAGAGCTATGCGGTTGCTTTTTTATGCTCTTGATTTTTGGGTCATTGGCCTGCTGGCGAAAAATGCGCAAAATGGGAAAAGTCATCCACTTTTATGTGGCGCGGAGCCCGTGGAAATGCAATTTCCTTATCAGTTTCATTTGGGCCCTTTGTCGCAGGTTCATGTTCTTTTTAATTCCATTGCATGTGACTGGTTTATTTAGGTCGATTTCAATCGAAAGCTGATTCGATTTGGCAGTGATTGATGCTTTGTTGCTCTGGATCTCTGCAGAATTTGTGGCCTTCTGCGGCCCAGGTGAACAATTAGAAGTTCAACGACTGAACTCCCGGAGGATTGCACTTCAGGCCCTTTGTCGGCTCAAACAAAGGGGAAATTGACTTCCTTGTCATATTTCCGACTTGCGACTAAATCGCTATCTGTAGCGTTGCTTTGGTTTCCATCCCAAGCACTCGAGTCGCTCGGGCACTCGATTAGATCCCAGTTTATGAGTGGCCTTCCGGAATCAATAAGCCAATCCACTTAGCTCAAGGCACCGACCAAGTGGACGGCTCCTGCATGGAGAAAAAATGTGATAGAAGATCTGTGATGATAATCTCTATTTTTGCAATGCTCGAGTTAAATACTTAGGTAAAGGAAAATATTTGTTATTTTAACATTTGCTTTAATTCCTAGTCACCTTTCTTACTGCTAAGCCTATAAAATAAACCTGACACGTCATAGCAATTATTTTCTTCACCATTTTCTCTCAGTGTTGCGCCAAGCGAACATATTGACTTGGAGACTCTTGAAATGTCCCCACTTCACCGATGTTTCTTAATAATAGGCAAAAATTTCCACAAACCATTTCTTCTTCTCCACTTTATTTAGGTGCTCCTGAGTACGAGTCCCCATCAACTTATGTCGTCGACAAAGTTGAAGATTGAGGCTTTTTCACCTATAATATCTTTTAACCATTATTGATTTGTACAATAAATTCTTAAATTGATTTTAACCAAATCAGAACCGAAGTGTTTTTTGTGCGAGAGCTTTAAGCGGACTTCCGCCACAAAAACAGCATGCAACCTAAAATTCTCGGCACGTCCCACTGTCAAATTTCCGTCCTTTTGATTTCGCCTGGGGACTCTCTCATACGCTTTGAAATGCTAAGTTTTCAGTTGCATTTCCAATTTCCATTGCAGTTGCAGTTGCCGCCTGGTGCCACTATAATTGCATTTTTGCACTGCTGCCTGGGGCATCAGTATTACGGTCAGGAAGAGTTCCCAGGACACTAGCCAGTACCCAGCCACAAAAAACATGTGGGGGCTGAGTTGGTACAAATGACGACGAGGAAATGCCAAAGAAAACCCAACAAAGTAAATTGAAATGCTTAAAGAGATCACACGAAAAGTTATAATAATTCATCGCAAACATTAAATAACATGCAACATATCAAGAATAAGCTGGTAAGTCAGAATTTCACTATGTATTTACAAATTTAATTTGTCCTACCGACATCTTCTTTAATTACGTATTATTTTGAAAACCCTCCCTTTAGGCACCCAATTTCTGTCCTCCTATTGTTTTTAACTTTAATTTACAATGTATTATAAACTTTTACCCATTTATTCGAAGCTCACATATTCAATATAGTTAATAATTAAGCCCATCATACTCGTATCCTGGCAGTTACTGGGCATTGCAAGCAATGTAGTTGTGATTGATATGCCTTTGGGGCTTCACTGGCGATTCTCCAAGAATCCTGACAGTCGTAAGAGCCCCAAGGGACCGAAAAGTGCGTTTCAATTCTGGCAAAGGTGTCGGTTAATTCGATTGGAAACTGTACGTACACTCGAACAGACGTGTGTCCCATCAAGAAGCTGCATTTCACGTTGTTGCAAATCCGGTGTCAAGTGCTGAATCCTTGAAAAATCCGGGTAGAACACCATAATACCACCTCAATGAGACTCGGTGTTATATACTTACCCGATACCGGTTTACCGATATTACAATGTAAAACGCCTCACAATAAGCCTATCACAAGTATCATATGCTTCGGCTTATTTTTTTATATTTTGCTTTATTGCGTAATCGGAATACAAATTTTACAGCTCTTAACATTTTGAACGGATTTCCAAAGGATCAACGAATTAATATCCGCAACAGCATTAATATTTATATATTCTACTTGGTGAAAATTAAAGATTGCTATTTATTTACATACATTTGTATTTATATTTATATGACGTATTTACAACCAGAAACCTGATTTAAATAACTTATGTTGAAAATAAAATCAATGAGGACAGTATATATGTACACAACTTGCATCTTGCTTGTTGCATAATAGTTGTCAATAATTAAACTTGGCATATATCAAGTTAAACGTTGTATGTTTTATTTTACAACCGCCATGCCAACTTGCAATATGCTAAATTCAATACAATAATATAAAGCATACAAAGTAAAAAAAATCTACATAAAACATGTCGAATGTTTTAGAAAGTTAGTAAGTGTAAAACAAATGAATCTCACAACAGGCCTCGCCATTAATAACGCAAATTACAAAGTGTTGAATTTTAAAGGAGCTTTAACCCTCAAGGTATCCCAGCTCTTCCTTCTTAGTTATAAATTCTCCTCAATTCATCTCTCACACCACGATTGAACTCGATTGATGGTGGTTAGGGGCGAAAGTGACAAAATATCTGCACACAATGCGTGTATTTGTCGTATTGGTATTTCTTTGACAACCAACAAACAAGCCCCCTCCCACCCTTTTTTCTCTCTGTGCACCTGTCCCCACACGCGTGTGTGTGCCCACTCACACACGCAAACGCCCTGGGGGCATTTATAAGGACTTTGCGATTGTGTGTGCGCTACAAATTGAATTCAACATATTTGCTTTAAGTGCTTTTCACCCGTTTCGATGTGAACTTTGTGTTGGAGCTCTTTAAGGCGCCGCAATGATTAAGTAAAAACATTTTAATTTCCATAGATCTGAAAAACTAATCTAAAATACCAAGCGTATTTAATGTATTACCCATGTAGTACCAAATGTTTCGTCGCTTTTGACCAGAGTTTGATCACCCAATTCGCAGTGGGCGTGACTGTTCGTGTGGGACAGATTATCGCTTAAATCATGATTACCAGCAGTGGTAGTAATTAGGGACGCTAAACGCTGGGAGTGGGTGTGTCATAAATACTCTCAAGATTGAAGTATATCAGCTTCCAGCCACAAGCGAATTCCTCGCCAAGTGGGGAAATGGGGGAAATGGGGTGGGAAAGTGAACGATGGTAGCAATTTGCTATTAGTTACCTCGGTTATTGTTATGCGTGTGTGCTGTGTGGGTGTCGGAGGATGTGGGGAAGTAGGGATGTGAAGATGTGCGGGTAGGAGGGTGGTCTGTTTATGCATTTGCTTATGCTGTGTGCGTGCCAATATCCCACCGAGGACCAGAGGCACAACTCCACATGGGACCAACTCCCCGGCACACTTACAAATTATATATATGGCATTCGAATTTGTCTGGCGAGAAGGAGTGGCCATTCGCTTCCGCCCTCACGTAATTTTTCCCGCTGCGCAGAACTCTGTACTGCAGGGGAAATGCAACGGTTTGGTCTCGAAAAATATCACAGCATATAGAAAAAAGGAAGATCTGTTGGTATGATTCGATTCATAAACCGATAGAAAGATATCGCCCAAGCTATGAGGTGCTCATGCCAAGGCATCAAGTATCAAGCATCCATCCAATTCAGAAGCAATATTAGCATTCCAAAAACAGTGCAAATGAACTGCTCCCTTGTAAATAAACTTGCGATCGGAAATGGAAGTAAACCACTACCGCGGGTGATTTTTGTTCGCACAACTTGCATAATTATTCATAATTCAGCAGAAATCACAAACAGTTTCCCCGTTCCAATGGAATTACAAAGGGGATTATGCCGGACTTCGCTGTCCCGACGAATAAATTAGATGAGCGGAACTTTCCGGGCGGACGGGTTGGCCATGCCAGTGGCCAATGGCCATAAAACTAAAGCAAATTAATGCGAGCTGCTGCTTTACAGGGAACCAGGGCCAGCAGATAATTCAATAGAGCGCCCGCACACACATATATTTAATGTGGCTTTCGTGGGGTCGGCGCATAACGCATACGCCGCGTGTGCAGCGGCTCCTGTGGCGGCCAACTACCGTAGCCCACGCACTGCGCCCCCGCCAAAGGGCAATTTCATTTGGGTTTATCCCCCTCTTTGTGCTGGGCACCCCGCAATTTTCCATCACCGTGCAGTCGCCATAAGCAGCGGTTTTTCCGTTGCGCATGGCAACTTGCAGCAAAAA